ATTTGTTGAGTTGTTGGTGAACTTTAGCCTATTGGGAAACCTGGTCTGAAGTCTAATGGACTGGGAAAAAGAGTAGCTAGAGCCCCAGGGATCACCAGGGACACACCTTATATTCAGCCCACAGTAGCAAGACTAATTCCAGACCACACTCTTCCCACCTTCCTTAGGGTCTTCCTTAGCTCAGGAACCTGGTGGGACAGGACCCACAGGGAAGGAGGCTCAGCACTTGCAGCTGACAAGGACTGGGGAAGTCCAGGGATGAACTGGCCGAGTCAGGAGAAAATCCACACTGTGGGATCCTTGAGCAAAAGACTGCTGTCTTACCCTGTCAAGAGGGCTCCCACCATTATGAGTCAATTTCTGGTAGAAAATTAACAGCTGGAGAACAAGCGGGGAGGGTGAGGTAAACCATCTGGCTTTGTGAAGCCAGAGCAGCTGGGCTGAAGAAACTAAGACAGACAGAAGACAGCAGAAGCTGGGAATATTATGGGTAAGAAGCGGTGTCTGGAGCTGTGCTGCCCAATATAGCAGCTGCCGGCCACATTTGGCTATGTAATTTTAAATTAATTATAATAAATATATTTGAAAAACCCATCCTCCGCTGTACTAGCCACATTTCAAACATGCAATAGCCACAGGAGGCTATATTACTGACAGTGCATATGGAACATTGCAGAAAGTTCTATTAGATAGAGCTGGTCCAGAGGCCTCACTTCATCCCTTAGATTTGAAATGCCTTTGGACCCTAATTTGTTCTACAACAGGAAAGTCCTGAGGCTTCAGTTGCTCTTATTCAAGAAAGCTGGGGTACCAGGAGGGTCAATGAGGGATTTTCCTTTGGTTCTTTTGACCTCTCTGGACCATTCTCAGGCTAGGAAAGAGCTGAAAGAGGAGGCCAAGGTTTTGATCACAGGATGCTGCCAGGGTCAAATGCCCTTTAGCATCCTCCCCTGGGGGAGATACTGAGTGGGCAGCAGCCAAGGGGAAGGTGATACATCTCAGCAACAGCAGATCTGCTTCTTCATCCCTCCATGACCCATGTGAAAGTTTACAGGAAGCAGAGGAGTTAGGAGCCTTTTACTGCGGGGATTCCTACCTTTCTGGGCAACTGACTTCTGTTGAGGAGGACAAGCCTGGAGCCTCTCCTTCTCTCCCCACCTCCTCATTGTGCTTGCTGAGTCATTGCCAACAGTAAATCCCAGGCAGCCACGTGACATCATCACCCCTTCTGGTAAAACCTGTAGCTAACAGTGGAGTATCTGTGACCAGGTTTTTGCCTCTCCCTCCATGGTGATGTCAGAGCTGCCCAAATGGGCTAAAGCCTTGGAACAACCCAGGATCATTCTATCAGCCACCAGGTGGCTGGTGGCTCCCCTTTCACCTGACATTCTTACCTTGGGTAAAGTCCAATCTGAAGTTTTCAATGGGATTGTACTGAATCTATGGGTCAGTTTGAAGAGAAATGACATGTTTATAATATTGAGTTTTTCAACTCATGGACATGATATTTCTCAACTTACTTAGTTGTCTTTAGTTCCTTTCTATGAAATTTTATAGTTTTCTCTGTAGAGATCTTAGACATTTTTGGTTAGATTTATTCCTAGGCATTAGATATTTTTCAGCGCTTTTTATAAAGTGTATCTTAAATTTTTTTTCTGTCTTTGCTGATGCATTTCAATTCATTATAGAACAGTGCAGTTATTTAGTTACCTTCAGAAAATTTTAACCAAGACTTTTCCATGCTGACCAACTTGGTCCTGCACAATCAGGTAGGACCCAGGTACCATTCAATGTCTCCAAGTATCTCCTACTCTAGGGAAGGGATTTCCTTTGGTTTGCTATTAGGTGTAGAATCAATACTACTATTACCTACTGCATTCTCTTCAGACATCACCACAGATCTCTGAGGTGGGGGACTGATTGCTCTAAACTGGTTTATATTCACCCATAGTTTTTGGTGTGTTTGGAATAGAGTGTCAACTTAAGGAGTGGGGCAGTTGGATTTAGGGCAGGGATTTACTTGAGTAAATTCAGTTTCCATAGTGTGGTGAGGAGAACAGAAATGAAGAACTTGGCAACATCAATCACCATGAAGACAATGAAAGAACAAAGTAAGAGTACAAAGTGATCCAGCCAACTCTCTGACCAACCAACCAATCACAGACACTGAAAGAATAGAGAAGAAAACTGAGAACTTCAGGTAACTTCTCCCTGGTTACAATTGATGCCAGTCTTCTACACCCTTGCTACCTAACTGATCTTTCACACCCAATGCTTATAAGTGCAGACTCATTCATATCATAGATAAATAATCATTATAGTGAAATAAAAGGTGCTGAAGAGAATCTCAGTTAATGGTGAGATATGAAAGCTGTTCTGTATTTCAGGTCACTGTATACGCCACTGGTTCTTGGCTTATAACATCAGGGCTTCAAGTTGTTTCTGGTTTGATTTTATGCCAATTTTGGAGGATGCTTTTCTTGGAGTCTATTCCCTAAATGAAGAACATAGCTTAATGAGAAACTAGGACACCCTGTTCTCTTCAAGTCTCCTTCCAACTGGTCAACCTTCCTTGCATGGCCAGCCAGGTCCAGTGACCCTTACCCCTCTTATTATCAGAAGTCCCTTTTGAGGTATTCACAGAAAATATCCATTTTTCTCTCAATTTACACCACAGTTTGACCCTGGCATGTGTGAAATGCAGTTGACCCAGGATAGCTCTCTTATTTCTTTGGGAAAAGTTTCTCTTAATTTATTCCATCTTCTCACAATAGAAAACTAGGGATTGAGACAACTAGGAGTCACTCTATGGTTTATACCACCTCAGCTAGCTACTTCCTAGAAAATGGCTTACTCCTTGATCTGCAGGATTTAGGTAAGGGTGTCTTTCAGGCATAAGCCCCTGCAGGGATCAATTTCATTTTCTTCTTAGGGCAGTTTGCTTAATACATCTCCTGTACTTATGAGGTATAATTCAGAAAGTCCAATGCAGGGTTCTGCAGACTGCATCAGACACCATCAGAGACACATCTGAGTCAACTGTGGAATGACTCAAGGCTTTGAAATATTTAAACCATATGTCTCATGAAACTAGGTGAAAACGATGCCAGTTTCTCTACTAGAGGCTGTCATCTGAGACTGAAGCTCAACTTGGCAATGATCCTGTATTCCCAGCCTCACTGGTCACGTTGCTGTGGGCTGTGAACCTGTCAGTACTGCTGAGCCACATGACTTGGAATAGGACCACAGGTAAGCAGAGGTACTGTGGGCCCCATGGAAGGTGGCCAGGGACATTTAGTGGTCTTTTCTAGGCCAGGACAATATGTATGCCCCTGAATAAGATTGGGTTTGGAAGGGAAAGTGAAAAGAGTATATTTTCTGCCCTGGAGGAGGTAGGAAAACACCATTATTTTAACCAAATGACATTTATTAAGAGTCTTATCCTCTGAAAATTAGCAAAGATTCACAGCCATTCTTTGAGAGAAGGAATAAGTATTACAAGAATATTGTCTGTCTTATCTTTGAAGTCTCTCAAAGGTTGTTTCCCTCTTTCTGAAAAGTACCCAGCAGAACACCTGACATGGAAGATGCTTGCTAACAGCTTGGCACAGTGGAAATGACATCGACTATAAAGTCAGAGGCACCAGGTTCTATTCCCAGTTCTGCCACTTAATAATGGTGTAATTAATATTACACTTAATTGCTCTGAGCTTCATTTCCCTCTTTCCTAAAATGAGGACGCTAATACCTTTCTTATGAGGGTGTTTTGAAGATTATATGCAATGAGATATGTGTAGCACATGGCAGGTTATTCAGAAATGTTAGTTGAATTTTAATTCAAAGAAGATGACATCATGGTAAATGAATACAGATCCAATAGCCAAGGAGCACCCCCTCTGTCCCAATTAATCCCAGGACAAGTAAAAATTTGAATAAAAATGGAATATATGGTCAAGGACTCTTCCTTTTTGTCTCTTTTTGATGTGTTGTATCTGTAAAAACTAGTAAAGGAGGGGGAGAGAAGGCTCAAAAAGCTGGAGAGGTTTCCTCAAGTCTGGAGCCATATGATTCTCTTAAAACCAACTCTTTCCTTCTTACTGCTCTACAAAAGGGGTTGTGGTAGCCAGAGAAGCCACTGAGTTGCTGCTATACCCTCCCTCAGGAGTAGCTGCCCATGTTGTGAATCCCAAGCCAGGGTATGCCAGTGATTCTGACCTGTCTTCAGGGGTGGAAGATGGTGGGTGATATTCAAGTCAGTTTACTCCTCCATTATCCAGGAGAAGGGAGTGGGGCTGGTTAGGGGGGCACAGAGAATCCAAGATGACAGGCAATCCAACCTTCCCTACCCTGCCTCATTCAGCCAATAGTTCTAATCTTTCTTCCAGGCTTTGTTTCTAGAAGTTGCTTATAATGTCTGCTTATAAGACATTTGCCCTTTTTGTACTGGAAAGTGCAAGGGAACAATGATGTAGCCTCCAAGGAGGGGAACAGGAGGTCCCCATAGGCTGGAATGCTGAGCCCTGAGCAAATGAAGCCCTGGCTGAGCTTGAGGGTGGTCTGTGCAGCTGATGAAGTGAGAGAAGAGTAGAACAGCAGCCTGAGTGAATCTGGGGGGCTGGTTGTGAAGAGGTTTGGTTTGCCAGTTGGTGGGAATAGCTTCTTCTAGATTATGTGTTGGGGGGTGAGGGTGGAGACAGGGTAGGAAAGGGGAAAAGAAGGACCATCATCTGCCTCCTTGGAAGAAGAGGCTTGGCTCAAGGAGGAGTCTGGTTCCTGTATATCCCAGCCATGGACTAGAGTAGAGACTCTATCTCAAGGGGTTGTCCTGGTCCAACTCCTGGTAGATTTAGGAGGTAAAACATTTGTCTTCCAAGAACATGGGGTCTTTCACTGATTAGTTTTGTCCCTCACTCTCCTTCTTTCAATACTGGCACTCCTTCCTCCCCTTCTTCTCCATCTCTCTGGTACCTGCAGATCAGACACCTTTTTCAGAGGCCTACCTTGGGTTTGAAGGCAATGAGCTTCAGAATCATCTCCACAGTGAAGAGGCCAGTGAAGAGCATGTTGAGGATGTTCATGGCGATTTTGAATAGGCAGCTCTGGCCATAGTGCTGAGGGGAGGGGAAAGATTGTGAAAATGAGGCAGGAACATCCCTACTCCTCACCACCCTCCTCTCAACAGAGATCTTCTTTGAACTAAAACCTGGAAGGCCATTCACATCTCCATGGGCAGTAAGATGGACTCAGGAAAACCTGCAAATTCTTCCCTTCTCTGCTAGCTCTGAAAATGCAGGTTGGCAGAATTCTGTGTTCCTGCTTTGATTGGTTATGACAACTTTATGGAGACTTCTGGCTCTCAGGAGAGCTTAAGCACAAGTTGACTTCTCTGAAGACAGGTGGATACAGAACCAACCTCTACACCCATGCCTCACTGACAATAATGAGCTCTTCAAGCTCCCCCTCTGTTCTCCATTTCCTTCACTCTAAATGTTTTCTTAACCCAGGCTCCTATGGATTCTTTCATAAGATGCCAGAGAGGAGCTCATCCTTGAAAGGGACACTTATCTTTCTCTTTCTGGGAAAAGAAGACAGTTCTGCTCTTTCTGCTTCCTTGGTCAATGTGAAGGTGACACGCTAGAGACAGCCAGGCAGGTCTTCTACACTTCATATCTTCCCCTAGCATTTTCCCTCCTGCAGGCATCACGTATCCAGGGCCCCCCTGCACTGACCTGCATTGCCAAGCAGATGGTGTTGAGCAGGATGAGGACGAACATCAGGTATTCAAAGTAGGTGGAGTTGACCACGTACCACACTTTGTACTGGTGCTGGTTTTTGGGGATGTACCTCCGCAGGGGCCGGGCCTTGAGGGCATATTCCACACACTGTCGCTGGGAGGGAGGCAGCGGGAGGGTTGGGGTGGGAATGGAGAGAGGGGGTTAGTAACCTGGATGATGTGTGTGGGGATGGCAGAGGAGGGTGGGATGTGGATGAAACTATACACCTTGGGAGTCAGAGAAATAATCTACTGCTCTACTCATTTATAGGTTTGAGAGACTATTTGGACTTTTAAAAAAATTTTCTGTAACTCCCTAAATGAAGGAAAGAATTGCCTCTAGTCAATCTCCTTACCAAGATTTAGTCATGGAGTTTGTGTCTCATTTTCTCAACTTGGTAATGTCTGGTATGCTGCCAACACTTAGTTGGCATTTGATAAATACTGAATGACAGTTCCTCTTCCCATTGGTTATTTCCTATACCACAGATGCTCCTTGGGGCACTTCCCTCCTCAACTTTTCCTCCTATCCTAAGTCAATCTTCCTTATTTACCCATGTACACAAGATCTGAAGATAGTTCATGGATAGGGGAGGAGATCTTAGGCTGACGACATTCCTGAGACTCCAGAACAGATCTAGTTCATTTCTCTGCACTGTGCCCAGATTCCTATGTCAGGAACTGGCGAGTCATTCCAGCCTCTTCCCTTACTCTCAGCCTCCACACCCAATCTCTAAGCCTGACCAATTTTATTTCCTCTTATTTTCTCCACCTCCACTATCATTAACCTGATAGTAGATGAGGGTCTAATCATCTCTCATCTATATTTTCTAATTGGTCTCCTTGTTTCCTGTCTTTCTTCCAATCCAAAGGTCATAGAACAGCCAGAATGATGAGTCTAAACTCAAGATGTTTACATCAAAGTCCATGAGAGGTCCAGCTGGTCTAACTGGTGTAGAGCTGAGTGTCTTGTGCTATGTGCTTTCCCATATGAGACCTTAAGTTACTCACACACAGGGATATAACTCCTCCTTACTCTCCCCATTGAGGAGTCTAGCTGGGGAACTGACCTCAGTGACAACATGTTGCAGCCCACTGTAACAGCTTCATTCTTCACTGATGGAGTTGCCAACTTTCTCAGAGGCCACAGAATACCTTACTGTCCTGGCATTATCACATTATTCCTACTGAAGCCTCTTTCTTGCCCCCACCTCATGCATAGGCCTCTGTGTTTTACTTAAACCATTTAAGGGTTTTCTAAGGCCCTTCTCTTCCTCACCCCTGAAATCCTCACTGCCTCATTGCTCTAGTTTCTTTCTTCATTATCAGTGTGCCAACCCACGTGGGCACTTATTAACTTGTTAACTTCTAAGAGATAGGGTGTGAGGTTTTTTTCTCACAGCATCTATCATGGAGTCTCCTTAAGTAGGTGCTTAACAAATATTTGTTGGCTGAATGCCAGATTCAGGATTTGCAGAGATTTGCATTTCTTTTGTCCAGGGCCTTCCAGAAGACTGACAGCCCTATTCCCTTGTTGAGGAGCAGACAGATGATCTTAGCATCTGCATAGATCTCTCTTCTGACCTCAGCCTCTCTTCTGGGTTGGCCACAGGCTGCCAACTGCTGTTATTCCTCGCATTCTCCCCACCCGGCCCTGCCACCTGTTCCTCTCTTCCTAGAAAGCTACCTGGTTCTTGTCCAATTCACAGTTCTTGTATTCCTGCTCCCCCTGCTCCTGGAAGGTGACGATGACAAAACCCACGAAGATGTTCATCATGAAGAAGGCAATGATGATGATGTAGATGATGAAAAAGATGGAGATCTCCACACGGTAGTTGTAGATGGGGCCCTTGTCTTCTGTGTGGGAGTCGATGGAGCGGTACAGCAGCCTGCAGGAGGAGACAGGCCCCACAGAGGGAACCGGAGAAGCAGTGTCACTTCTGTGGAGTGACAGCACCACTACTCCTAGGTATCCTCAGGATCAAGGGTGCTGGAAACAGCTATAGGCTGGGAGTCAGAAGATCTGGGTTCAAGTTCCAGCTCTGCCACTTACTGGGGTGGGACCATGGACAAATAAATCTCTTGAGCTTCAGATTCTTCATTTGTGAAATGGAGAGACAGTAATTCCTGACTTTCCTACCTGGCAAGATAGTTGATATAGTGTATACGAGGGTGTTTTGAAACTGTCAAGAATTTGTAAAATGAGTCATGGACATTGATTTCAAATACTGGAAACATTAGTAAATATTGAAACAGCTTTGCAAACTGGCATAGGCTCAGAGGATGTTACAGTGAGCATAAAATAAATCTATCTGAGAGCAAATATCCATTTAGATAAAAATATTAGGTAAAAATGACCCAAGCTTATTCAGATCACCAACAATGGTTTGGGTTTATACTTAGGTAGTTTATATGTGTATGCCATTATATGTGTATGTTTCTCTTCATGGACAGGGATTAACTCCTCTCTTTCTTTTGTTACTCTGCACAGTACTTGGTTATTCTCTAGGTATCATCTATATTTTACCATATAATAATGGGACTCTTATCTAAGATCCATGTGTGGTTACTGACTTAGGAATATTTAGAATTTTCTTTCTTTTAGATGATAATTTCCCTGGAGTGCACTGGGTGGGGCGTACGGGGAAGCAGGTGTCTATACAAAGATATATGGAACACCTGATGCACAAGCTGCCTGGTAGAGGTGATAACAGTGTAAAGGGCCAACCAGGCTGGTCTAGGCATGATCTCTGCAGAGGAATTTGGACTCAGGCTTCCATCCTTTTCTTACTTTTCACCATAATTATAGACAAGGCTTTTTCCAAGGAGACTGAGGTAGAGTCTAAAACAGATATCTTTGCCATCTCTACCCACATTGAGTGCATGTTGGGATCAGTAATTTTGAATCCTGTCTAAGGGCTATCTAAAGGCTCATACCTAGAGAAACTCACCCCATTCCTATGTGCCATGAGAGTAATGATAAAGACCCCTATCATTGCAGCTCACTCTGAAGTAAGGAAGGAGAGCTAAAAGAAGATCATTTTTGTTTGGAATTTCTGAAAATTTGACATCTTCCAGAAAAAGAATAGTCTATGTTTCAGCAGTGACCATGGTATGCAGATTGTCTAGGAACAAAGCCTCATTGTTTGGGGAGGACACAGGTAAGCACGACCTGAGTGTGGGACAGTAATAAAACTTGGGGGAATAGCTTGGGCTCTAATATCAGGGTGGACAGGCTGTGATTTGCATACTCACTCTGGCCACCCCTCAAAGGTGGAGACGGTAAAGAGGGCCATCATGGCTGCCAGAACATTGTCAAAGTCAAACTTGCTGTTTTCCCAGCTGCGAGGCTGGATGATGGGGTGGTCAACTTCCCCATCCTTGTATGTGATGTAGTTACCCCTGAGAAAGAAGGAAGAGTTAATTCTTGTGTTTCTCACCTTCCTTCACACCTGACCCACCAATGACTCCTGGCTTGCTGGGTGGGATGAGACTGGCTAGGCTTAAACCCCACAGTGTGAGCCGTTGTGAAGAACTTCAGTGGGTAGACCTTTCAAGAACAGATAATCTTACATTTCATGTCAACAGTATCACATTACCCAAAGGTAGAAGTCCACCTGTCAGTGCTATCTGAGAAAGAATGGACTGTCCTTCCTCTCAGGCCAAGTCACTAACCTCCCAGAATTAACTATCCTTTGTGCTGGCTGCCCTCCAGGTTGTACTCACTTGCATTCCGCCTCAGTCTGCTTGGAACTATCTGAACAGGTGTAGAGCTTTCCCTGGAAGGCAAAAGAACAAAGTGATTGGAGATGTTCATTAATCAATGAATCAGTCAAGAAATGATTAGTGATCATGTATATAGCCCAGCACTGTGCTAGGAACTTGGGGCAAAAAGGACAAGGTGAGCAGAATCTAACCAGGAAGCCATGACTCACATATACCAAGCAGTCAGTGAATAAAGATGCTCAGTGCTGGATGTACCATTGAAATTTTTAAAAAAGGGGGGAACTCCACTCCACAAGAGCTGGACTCTTTTGGCTGGCCTAAAGAAGGTGGAAGTGGAACAGGTCTCAGAGGGACAAATTAAATGGCCGGAAATCAGGTGAATTTATATAGTCAGTGGGAGAGGGCAGGGGGAAGAATGCTTCAGAAATAAAAGGATTAAGGCAGAAAGAGCAGAAACCAAGGAAGCCAGCCTCACTGTAGCGGGGCAGGAGGCAGTGAGAGAGAACCGGATGGATGCAGTGTTCTGAAAGCTGGCTGGAGAAGGGTGGATTTGATGCTGTCAATAATGGGGGACCACTGCAGAGGTTTGAGCAGGTGACTGGCATGAGGCTTCAGAGGATAAAAGTCCCTCTCCCTTTCTTGCTAGAAGGAAGGGAAGGGATCAGAAAGGCAGGCTGCGCTGCAAGACCAAGGGGGTCCTTGGCTTGGTGGAGAGTCCTCCTTTCCAGTGGGGGAAGCTGAGGGGAGGGTGTTTGGAGGTTCCACTCATCCTAAGTCTGACCCAGGCCGCTGTCCTCTTTTGAGTGTATCTGCCAGCAATCTTTCTCAGGCATGCTGACAGGAGGGGAAGGAAGCAGGAGCACAGATCAGAGCCAAGCTATTACCTTGAAAAGCTGGACCCCGATGCAGGCGAACATGAACTGGAGCAGCGTGGTGACAATCACGATATTCCCTATGGTCCGGATGGCAACAAACACGCACTGGACCACGTGCTGTGGTGGGAAGGGAAGGCAGGGGACAGGTTTCAGGAAGTGCCTACAGCCTGAGCTTCCGTTAGCCAAGGCACGAACCTCTCTGAGGGAGGCTCATGGACAGCCCCTTTGTCACCAGAGTGAAAATATGACTCAAAGAGGCAAAGCACCTTCCCAGGTTCACATGGTGATGGGATCCAATGGAACTCAAAGTCCTTTGTTGGGCTTTAGGTGACTATAGGGACAAAAGCCCTGCTAGTTTCCCATTTTATAGGTGGAGGAATATGGGGGCCTCATCTTCATGTGGGGGCCCTGGGTTTGTGTGTGTGTCTCTTTTATGCACAAGTTTTGCTTAGAAGTTCTGATTTTGGTTTTTTTGTTTATTTTATTTATTTTAAGAGAGAGAGAGAGAGTGCAGGGGAGGGGCAAAGAGGGAGAAAGAGAGAATCCCAAGCAGGCTCCATGTAGCTGGGCACAGAGCCTGATGAGGGGTTTGAATTCGTGAACCATGAGATCATGCCCTGAGCTGAAACCAAGAGTCAGACACTTGACTGACTGAGCCACCCAGGAGCCCCTAGAAGTTCTGATTTTGAACAGCTGCCTATCCTTGTTCTCTTTAGCCTGAAGTGGGACTAGAAGTACAGGCTGGAGAGTCCAGGCTCTAACACAGCAGCCATTTGCTCCGGCCATTTCTCCTCTGTCCAGCCCTCCACCCCCACCCCCCTGCCTCACTTATATCCCCCCAGTCCACAGCTGGGTTGATGCTTGCTCTGCTGATGGCTCCTCACCTAGGCCCACCCTTCTCACCTTTAGTCCCTTGGCCCTGTTGATGGCCCTCAGGGGCCTGAGGACTCGCAGAACTCGCAAGATCTTCACCACATTAATTGCACTGGACCTGGGAGAGAGAAACAGGGCAGGGGAGTAAGCTCCTGTTGTGGTGGAGCAGGAAATAATGTGAGGGGGTGTCCTGACAGGCTGACCCCAGGCAAACTTGAGAAAGTGTAAAGTCTGTTTTGAGGACTTTCTTATCCTGGGACAATTCTCTACTCCCATCTACCATCCTAGAAGAGCCTGAAACTTGCCAGTGACCCTGGGACTTCCTGTTGGTGTGTAAATAATATGAAAAGCAATTTACCAGAAGTCATTAGCAATATAATGTGTTACTCAGGGGAGCTTTAGTAAAGAAAAGAGAACCCCAGCTCTGTCACTTAACAGCCAATTCACAGAGGATAAATTCCCTAACTTTTTCATCTGTAAAGTGGACCTCATAAGTTGTTGCAGGGATTAAATGAGGAAACAGTATCTGCATCATTTGCAGTGTGCTTGGTGCATATTATGAACCGAATAAATGGTAGCTTTTATTATTATGTCTGATGAAGACATCACCGATCTCGAAGAAATGTTATACAGATGGTGGAGCTTCAGGCCTTGTTGGCTGGAGGTGATGGAGGAGCTATTCTGGTGTTCTCCAGGCAGTTGCCCATTACAGGTGTATATAAAACCACCCATTCATAACACACTCAGGACTTGAAGGAATGGATTCTACACAGCAGGTTCCACATGCCTGGATGCTAGGGCTTGGCCAGGATTTCTGGGAGCCTCGGCTTTTGCTGTTCCCTAGTGGAAATGAGGCACTAAGGTGCAGTTCTCCCCACAAGCCCCTCAGCAGGAAGCCTGCATGGTTTCTGGAGTTATTCATCCATCCAGGTGGTCTCTATCTCAACCCTCACACACTACCCATTTGCTTGAGATATCCTCACAGTCTTTCAGAGAGCCTTGTACACACTTTGGGACCTAAAAAATGTATGACACATCAGCATGAGGTTAGGATAATGTGCTCAGGAGGGAGCTGGTAGATCTGATTTCTCTGGTTCATGGTTCTTTTATCTGAAAGGATTCAAAGGGCATTCCTAGTTATCCAAGTATCTCAGGGAGGGAGTCTGTTTGTACTGAATGGCAATGGAAGGGATTTTAAGGTTAGGTGCAGAAAGCACAGACTAAAGGGGGGGTGGTTCTTGGTTCAAGGTTAAATAGTAGTTTAGTGGTAGTGCTGGGATTAGAATCTAGACCTGTAGGCTCCCAGCAGACAGCTAAGATGATCACAGAGATGATAACAGATGATCACAGAGAGTGTCTCACTCCTGTTCCTCCCATGTCTGCTCTTTCTAGGCTTACCATGAAAACACCCTTGGGAAAAGACACCCAGGACCCCTTTCCTCTGCCATTGGTATAACCTTGGGCACATCTCATGCCCCGAACCTCAGTCTTCCTATCTATAAAATGGTGGTAACAGTCCCTGCCCTGCCTGCAGCTTTTTTTGTGAGGACAGTAGAAGATTGTGCATGTGAAAGGGCTTTTAAGTTGAAGGCAGAGTTAATGTTATCAGCAGATAGAACTTGGGAGAAATTAGTAATTGGATCCTTTTAAACCTGAGCAAATTGGCAACCTTGGTTATATGGTGGAGTCACCCAGAGAACTTTTAAAATTCCTAAAGCCCGAGCCTGTAGCCCAGACCAATTAGATAAAAATTTGGGGAGAGGGATCTAGGCAAATGTCTTTCCTGAAACTACTCAGTCTATTCCACTATGCAGCCAAGACTGAGAATCTGTAATTCCTCTCTTTCTCTGTCCCCCACTCCCTTCTTCTCATCAGGTGCTTTGACTGGAGAGAGAAAGGGAGGGAAGATGGACTGGAATATCAGGGCTGGTTATGGCAATGGAGGGCCGTTGGAGCTGAGGGTAGCCAAGGGCACTGGGCAGGTAGTAGAGGAGATATGAAGGCCCTGGAGGCATTCCTCTCATTATAACTGGGCCTGGTCCTGCCTGTCATGCCAAGATCCATATATTTTAAACATATTCTGGCTGGATGGACATACCCCCCAAGTGTCACACCATTGAGGATGTGACAGAAAGCCATCATGTTGTACAATTCAGGGGTCCCTCCCTGTTCCTGTCATAGACTGGTGGCCATGCAAGACTTCAGAGTCTTGATCGTTCTCTCTGACACCCATTTCTAGTTGTGTGGCCCCATCATTGGCTGAGGGAGTCCTACTCACTGGATGCCAAAGGAGATGAGGGACACGCTGACCACCAGCAGGTCCAAGATGTTGAAGTAGTTCCGGCAGAAAGAGCCCTTGTGTAGGAAAGCCCCATAAGCAGTCATCTGCAGGGAGGCAAAGAGAAACATGAGCATGAGTGGTCCCTGCCCAAGCTCCAGAGACCCCCTCATGCCTCCCTCTCCTCCCACAGCATCCTTTGGGTAGGGCAAGCTGAAGAGCAGTGAGAGGACTGGGGGCAGGCAGGACTGCAGAAAGAGAGGCAGGGCCAAGGACAATATTCTGCAATCATGTACATAACCACAAAAGAATTCCAGGCTCAGGATTGTTAAGTGGCTCCTTCCACTTACTAGACCACACCAGACTCCATATTTGAAGCCTTTTCAGATTGGGCCCTGCCATCTATCTCTCATTTTCCACTGTTCCTCATCACAGGTCCCTGATCCTGGCCCTGAGGAGTCTTTTGCTGACACTGCCCAGACCAGGTTTCCCTTTGTATGCAAACTTCCCAACCTCCTCTCCCAACCCCCAGAGCCAGATTCAGATACTAGGCATCTGGGGAAAGGTGGGACACACCTAGTATGGTGACCAACTGTCCTGGTTTTCCCAGGATTCCTGTTTTGGTACTGAAAGTCCTGTGTACCACCCAGGCAACTCTTCAGTCTTGGGCAAACCCAAGTCTTGGGCATCCTAGTGCCCAGTGAGAAGTTCTACCAATACATTTGGCAATTAGCATTCCTCCATTTCCTAACCTTAATTAGTGTTTATGATCTATGCCAAATATTCTAAACTCAATTCTATTATCTTCCTTTTAGACTGATGTTCTTTAAGGTCCAAGCTATGTGAACACACAGAGGGACAATGTGGGACCATGGTTAAAAGCATAGGCTCTGGAGCCAGGCTGCCTGAGTTTGAATCCCAGCTCTATCATATTTTGTTTGTATGGCCTGGAACAAGTTACTTAGCTTCTATGTCCCTGTTTCCTCATCTGAGAAATGAGGGTAATGATAATGTCTACCCTCTAGGGTTATTGGCATCAAATGAGTTATTACAGGTAAAACACTTACTATCATCAGAGAAAACTAAACTTGAGGCCAGATAGATTGGATTTGAATTCTGGATTCTTCCTATATAAGGATGTTCAGTTTCCCCATCTACAAAGTGGGCATACTATTCCCTGTCTTTATGAGGCACACATAGAAAGGCAACATGGAGGTCCTTTGAAGACTAAAACGGGAGCACATGGGATGGTGATTATTGTTACAGGACTTGGCTATTATTATCTCTCTCTGAGCTCAGTATAAAGTCACTGTAGATGCTCAACAAATAGCCTTTCCAATTCTGTTGATTTGAATTAAGAGCCAGCAGATTTCCAGGTTAAGGGTTGTGAAAGGCCATGGGCCGTGATGCATCAGCCAAAGGGAACAATTTGGAGCCAGTGGCTGAGAGACTGAGAGCAGCTCCCTGGTCATCTGGGGTCCAGTTTATCTCTCTGGAATCAGAGCATGCCCAAGGCAGCATGTCCGCAGAGCAATTCAAAAGCAAACACAGGGGGAACTGACAAAAATAGCTCTTGCAACCTAATTCTTTCCATTTATCTCCTACTGCAGGGGGTCACAGGGGACTCAGGCACCTGTGTCCTGCAACAGTTTCTAGAAGTGGGTATATTATATAAAAGGTTGCAGGGGAATATAGGCTTGCCATCTGGAGGAGCTTACTGTCTTGTCTCTCAGTGAAAATCTAGGAGGGGCTTGCTGTCCTGTCTTTGAGTAAAGATCTAGGACTGCAGGGACTGGATTTGGGTGGCTCCTATAATTCACTTAAACACAGAGCCTCTGTGCCTGCAGAAGGCCAAGCACCTTCCCTAGCCATTCACTTTTAGTTTCAGAGAAGGCACTGAGTCTGACCCTGCCTCACTCTTGTCTCAAATATTGTGAGGACACTACTGAGCATCACAGAGCCCTCCACGGTCAGGGAAGAGCACTCCTTGAATAGGTGCACTAGTAGGTCTCACAGTGCCAACGTCTGTCCTTTGACTTTGGGGTCCTATTTGTCAGGGACCTAGAATGAGACCAGCACTCCAAAAAGTGTGTGTGTGTAAGGGGTGGGAGGGACATGCCTGGGCAGGGCCAGCAGAGTGGCCTTAGGAGAAAGGGCAACTGGGTGCTGAAAAATGAGAATTTATTTGAAAATTAGTCTAGCTGTTTAAGACAACAGAAGAGGCCAGGTTCAGGTACTCAGTGCAAAGTGTCCTTTCCATACCCCGTTTTGTTAATAGCCACACAGTTCTAAGCCATTGCATAGGAAAAGCCTATTGCCGTGGTATTTTCAGCCTCAGGAAAAAAAAAGGTGGCCATGAGATTGCTGACTCTCTGAACTTGAAGGGCAGGAAAGCCGCTCTGTCCAGTCACAGGCGACCACTGCCTCCCCAGGCAGCTCTTCTAGTTACTAGATGTATCCTATAACTTGTATTTACTGCTAGGCCCAGTTCACCTCATCCCTCCTCTATGTGACAGTATTTTGCAGTATTCAGGCCAACAGTCATGGTCCTACAAGCCTTTTCTTCTTAAGGCCAAATATCCCCAGGTCTTTAAATTGTTCTTGACACTAAATGCCCCTTGGACAATGAGACCGTTGTTGTCTGTGCCAGGTAGAAAGCTGAGCCTTCAGGCAAGGCAGAGGGGCCCAGTGGAAGGAGGTGCAGGGAAGTGGGGTGGGGACTGGGCTTTATATTTAGAAGCACACTGAGCATCAAAGGGAGTAGAAGAGGGAGAGGGTGAAGGGAGGGAAGGCTCTTCCCATGATAATGTTTACAAAGAGATCTTTCACTTCTGTTTGCATGGCAATCCTGAAGGATAAACAGCACCACTGAAATCCATAAGGGAAGCTCTGTGGAGGAGTCCTGAGAAATGGGCCTCAGAGCTTTTCTTATACCAGGAAAGAGTTTTGGGTGTTTGTGTGCCTCCCTGAGTCTGAAGTCCAGAACTCAGCTCACCATGGAAAGGGGGTTTTACAGACTACATCTCAATGCAGGTAGACAGCTTTTGGTTCCCTTTTCCCACCCCCAGGGATTGGGGCCTGGTCAGATCCACTGTCCTAGAGTAGAAGAGGAAACCTGAGGAAGTCCCTTGGTCACTGGAACCAGGGACAGAAGCTGGAGGTCTGGACAGCTCAGCCTTTTGGGGACACAGACACAGTGGACACTCAAAACAGCCCCACTCAACTTGTATCTGGATGTGACAAAACTGTCATGTACATTAAAGGTCTGGGTCATGACTTAGAAGTTGCATCAGGAAAAGAAGGGTTTGCAGGCTAGCTGTGGCACATGGTCAGATGTGGACAGTGGCTGGCATCAGTCCCAGGGAGGGGGAGAGGGAGCCTGGACTCCTTGGGAGGAGGAGTCCCAGATGAGTCTCCCAGGAAGAAGACACCAAGCTGAAGGATATGTTTTAGAGCCTACAACCCTCCTGTTCAGGTAAATGAGAAGAAAGCAAATGCTGAAATGTAGTTTTCCTGGGTCTCAGAACTCACATCCTGAGTCTCAGATGGAGTGGTTTGGCAATACATTGTTTTAGAGGCTCAGATGTATACTGGAAAAACTTAGAAATAATAATAAAATAAATATAAATAATATATTAATTATAAATTAATAGAAGTAATAAAATAAAACTTAGAAAGCAATCTCTCTCATCCCAGTGCTTTCAGAGGTGGGTTCTACCGATGGGGTAAGTCCGTAGAAGTTCTGCCATCAGAGGTCAGCAGCACCTGGGGCCACCAGTCACAGGCCGGGCCAGCTCCATGTGCTCTCAGGACCGGGGCTTGGGACCTGGTTCTTCTTTCATGCTTAGGGCAAGGGGCATCGTAACAAGGCTTTTCAACAGGAAACTGAGGACTCAAGTAATCTACAGTCGTCTGTTGAAAGCCCCCAATGGAAGACTGGCCCCAAATCTTGCATTAATTAGGCCCATGATTCCTATCACCCAGGCCCATCTGGAGCCTAGCCTTGGCACCTGCCACTTGTATGGAGGAAGGTGTTGACCAAGGCTGTCCAAGGGCATGGACAAAGTGATTTCCCATGCCCCATGAGCTTTTCCACTCTTGGAGTTTGTGCAGCATCTCCTCTGGGGAGGAGGAGGGAGGGGGAGTTCTAAGCAGGGGTCAGTCATCAATGACCTGGAGGTAGGGTGTGTGGGGGTGGTGGGGCACAACACGCATTGGCACAGTGCCAGACCTGGTGACAGGACATCATCAGTGTTGACACTGTGAGCCTTCCAGCCTTCCAGGCTGAGAGGAGGCACAGCAGTGGCGGTGGGTTTCTTCTAGCTTCTGAGCCTGAGCAAAGTGAGGGGCACAAAGTGAGGGGCACAAAGTGAGGGGTACTAATTCATCAAATTTCATGCTTGAGAGTAAAAAAGAGTGAGTGAAAGAAACAAGAGAGAAAAGAGACAGCAGATATAGAGAAATAGGCAGAGAGTGCATTGCTCAGATTGCATTACCTTAAGGATAATTTCTAATGTAAAGATACTAGTGAAGACATAGTCTGCATTGCCTAGGATCTGAAAAATAAGCACAATTGGATTAGTGGCTCTGAGAGTGAACTCTACACCAACAGAAACATGTGTGTTAGCGCCAGACAGTAGCAGAGAGCTAGTGGAGGCTCACGGAGGACAGGATGGGGAGAGGCATTAGGGCTTTACCTTCAGAGCAATTTCAATGGTGAAAATGGTAGTGAAAACAATGTCAAAATAAAACAGAATCTGCAAAACAAAAAGAAACAGGGTGGGAATGGGGTGGGAAGGGAGAGAAGCAGGATGGAAGGAGAGGTCAGCGGACATTCACCAGAAAAGGAGTCACTCTTCAGAACCACACTACATGTCATGTAAGCTTTTCCATGTGGAGACAGTTAGGAGATGAGTAGCATATACACAGCATTGGATCCTGAAGTGGGGCTGGCCTCAGGCAGCTTAGTGGCTTCACACGAAGTCCCCAGACATGTGAGGGGAGCTTCCAGGGTCCTGGGTCTGGGCAGCATTTGGTTGGATGCTTTTCTCATTAATCCAATTTACTTACAAACCCAAATCAGACCACTGGGATGCTTGTCAAAAAGAAAGAGAGTGGGGTTTTCTTTTTATTGCAGGAAAATGCAAAATACTTAACTCACTTTGGTGTGACTCAGCTGGCTTCTCATGTTGGTGGAAATACTGGTGTTGTGTTCTTTGGGGCATAGGAAGGAAGATCCTCAATGTGAGGACTGCCGAGGCTGGGGGCAGGCTACGTGGTTCACGCTCTGTTATATCTCAGGTGATGGATCAGAGCTAGGGCCAACACCTTTTAAAGAAAACTCTGGACCAAGCAGGCTGCAGGACCACCAAGTGGTTTGGCATGAGTATGACTTAAGGTTGGTGGACTCTTCTCTTCACGTTCATCTGGTTGGGATTTGACAAAGTCTTCAGGCTTTGAGATAGAGCAGTTCTTATTCTGGCCTTTAATATTGTTTACCAGAGCCTTGGGTGGGTCTCTAAATTTAGTTTTCTACTCTACAGAAGGTCACTGAAGCTCTCTTTTGTATAAGGTCAGCCTCATCTTTGGCACCTATTTGCCAATGCTCCCCCTATCTGCTTGGTGATTAGGACCAGTTAGAGTTTATTGGGAGCAAGGCAGGAAGTCAGAGGCTACTTTTTACTAAGTACATAGGGAACCAGGGATACATCCATAGGGCAATGAGCGTCCCGAATTTTGCCAATCAGGCCAGCCTGAGGCATATGGGTACAGGTTCTCTTATTCATTTATGATGGTTTCTACCAAAGCCCTAATCTCTTAAAGAAATGTTTATTGTGCATCTGATTATAGTATTTGGAATTGGGGTCCTGATTGAGGTTGGCAACAGAGCTCTGGGCCCAGTCCCATCCTTGGGAAGAAGAGGTGCAGGGGACAAAAGGGAATGCATACATGGTTCCTGAAGGAGGTGTGCTGGACAGGGTCCTCAGCTGCCAGGGAAATGCTGCTGAGCAGAATGAAGAAGAGGATCAGGTTGGTGAAGATCGTGTCATTGACAATGCGGTGGCACTGGAGGCGAAATCTGTGTGGGGAGGAGGAAAGAAGGACCGAAGTATGTCAGAAAGGTCAGAGAAGCAGCTCCTGGGTCGCCGGAGCTCAACTCCTTCTTTCAGCTTATGAAAGGTGCTTGTTAGTTTGGGAGTGGGATCTTCAACCTGAGGTCTTACTGCTGAGGGTAGTGACAATCACATCCCACCCCCCTCTACACCCTCAGTGTGAGGCACATCTTTTTGGAACTTTGCATCTATAAAGCACTGTCACAGGCAGTAAGCTTTTGACATTTTGGAGGGTTACATCTGAGACCTTCAGGAATCCCAATATTTTCATATACTGCTGTGACATTAACAACTGGCTTTTTTGGGGGGACTTCTTTTTCCCCATCATTAAATCATTTTATAAGATCTCCTTCATATTTTTATATATAGGGAACAACAGATCCCACCCAGAGTCGATGCTGAGAGGCTGGCTAAGCCTACTCTCTGGCTAGGCAATATGCTCCTGTGTAATAGCTCCAAGGCATGCAATACCACACTTTCTGGGCACTCATTGGTAGTACCACAAAGGCTAAATCCTTGAATGTCAAATGTGTCTCATATACTATCTCATCCTGGCAGCTCAGGAAGGGGATATGGGTGTTATTATCTTCATTTTATAGGTAAAAACACTGAAACCCTGGAAGGAGAGGCTGGCCCAGAAAGACAATTTGTAGAGTGTTGTGTGTGTGTGTGTGGGGGGGGGGGGTGCGGTGTTCAGGGCTTGAATCCAGGCTTTCAGACTCCTTCTCACAACATTGTAGTGCTCTGAGAGACCCCACTGCTGCAGAAGCAGCAAATCTTGGAAAGGGCAAACTCTATGAGACAATTCTGGCTTCATTAGAGTTAGAAGGTCTGCATTGATTATCCTTTTCAAACAAATAAGCAAATCCACTGAGCCAGGGTCTGTGTGATAGGTATCCAGGAAGGGCAGAGTTGCCTGAGAATAGATGCTAGTAGTAGCACTGCTATGGGGAAACTGCATTTCAAGCCAGTCTTAAGGTAGGGCACTGAAACTTGGGACTTTAGGCTAAGCCAACACTCTTAAGAAGCCTCTGGAAGAAAGCTTCCCAATATTAATTTAGGTCCACAAGAATCTGATGAAGTACTGAGGTCACAATCAAAAATCATTATGCACATAAGAGGATGAACTTCTAAGATGAGAAATCAGAAGAAACAGCAAATAAATGATTTAGAACGCCCTCCCAAAGACTGTGTATACTGAACATATCAGATAGAGAATGTAACAACTATATTTGAAATATTTAACAGAATAAAGGACTTGATCACAAAGTTGAGGAATCAATAGGAGAAGTATTAGATATAGACAGATGGTTCTAGAAAATCAAGCTGCAAATGGAATTGTTTGAAATGAAAAAAAAAATAAGTCAATATAAAAACTGGTTTAAACAGTAATGTAGACAAAGTTAAAGAGAGAATTAAGAAATTGGAAGATATAACTGAGAAAACTACCCTGAATACTAAAAGAGATATAATGAGGTGAAAGATTTATAAGACACATTAAGACGTAGGAGGACAGAATGAGAAGGTTTAACATATGTCTACTTGGAATGCTAGAAGGAAAGAACAGAAAGAGATTATGGCTGCAATTTTGCAAGAATTAGCAATTCTCATTCTAATTTTTAATGTTTTTTTTTGACAATTAGAGAAAAATATAAATTGATAACATTCCAAGCAGGACTAATGGCCAGAAATCCATATCTAGACACATGGTAGTATATCTATACAATACCAAAGGCAACATAAGATATTCAAAACAGCTAGAGATAAGGGGAAGATTATCTACAAAGGAATGATAGTAGGAAAAATACAGTGTAATAATACCTTTGATATATTAAAAGACAAATCCTGTCAACCTAACATTGTGTACACAGCAAAACTATCTTTCAAGAACAAGAAATGAAAATAAGAACAAGAGATAAACAGGTCAAATGACTTTACATAAAGAAACACTAGGGGCTTTGGGTCAATACTACCCAAAGCTATCTACACATTCAATACAATCCCAATCAAAATTGCACCAGCATTCTTCTCAGAGCTAGAACAAGCAATCCTAAAATTTGTATGGAACCACAAAAGACCTCGAATAGCCAAAGTAATATTGAAGAAGACCAAAGTGGGAGGCATCACAATCCCAGACATTAGCCTCTACTACAAAGCTGTAATCATCAAGACAGCATGGTATTGGCACAAAAACAGACACATAGACCAATGGAATAGAATAGAGAACCCAGAACTGGACCTACAAATACATGCCCAACTAATCTTTGACAAAGCAGGAAAGAGTATCCAATGGAATAAAGACAGTCTCTTTAGCAAATGGTGCTGGAAGAACGGGACAGCAACATGTAGAAGAATGAAACTGGACCACTTTCT